AAAAAAAAAAAAAAAAAAAAGGAGCCATATAACTTGGCATGTGCATGTTATTTCTGTAGATCTCATTTATGTTAAGGTATGATTAATGTCTCTTGCTTTATTGCCATAGATACCTTTTTTTTAAAGTTGTTCTATAGACATGTACAAAAGGCAACAATCTAAAGGGAATTGTCCCAGATTTTTGGAGATGAAACTAATACAGAGAAAACCTACACAGATAGATGTGCTAACCAGGAAATAGGCCATATAGCAATTTAAGTGCTTTTAGAATGATGGGAGAAGTGAATATTTCAGGAAGAAGAAAAAATGGAAGAATAATGAATCATATGGTTACATATAATAATTGAAATGTAGACCAAAGTATAAAGGAGGAAAAAATTTTACCTGTATCTGACCACTTAGTGGCAGCCATTGTTAACCCTTTTGCATATGTGTAACCATGTACATATATATATATATGTGTGTGTGTGTCTGTGTGTGTGTAACCATATACATACACACACACATACACACACGTGTATATATATATATTTTGGCTGGACACGATGGCTCACACCAGTAATCCCAGCACTTTGGGAGGCCAAGGAAGGCAGATCACCTGAGGTTAGGAGTTCGAGACCAGCCTAACCAACATGGAGAAACCCTATCTCTACTAAAAATACAAAAAATTAGCTGGGTGTGGTTGCACATGCCTGTAATCCCAGCTACTCGGAAGGCTGAGGCAGGAGAATTGCTTGAACCTGGGAGACGGAGGTTGCAGTGAGTTGAGGTTGCGCCATTGCACTCCAGCCTGGGCAACAAGAGTGAAACTCCTCAGTTTTTTTTTTTTTTTTTTTAACAGACAGTCTTACTCTTGCACAGACTGGAGTGCAGTTGCGTGATTATGGCTCACTATAGCCTTGAACTCCTGGACTCAAGCGATTCTCCCACCTTGGCCTCTGGAGTAGCTGGAATTACAGGTTCATGCCACCATAGCAAGCTAACTTTTTACATCTTAAAAATATTTTATTGCAAAATGATATATGAATAATGCTCATTATAAAAATTTAAACAGGGCCAGATGTGGTGGCTGGCTCATGCCTCTAATCCCAGCACTTTGGGAGGCTGATGTGGTGATTGCTTGAGGCCAGGAGTTTGAGACCAGCCTGGCCAACATAGCGAAACTCCATCTCTATTAAAAATACAGAAATTAGCCGGGCATAGTGATATGCACCTGTAGTCCCAGCTACTGGGAAGGCTGAGGCACAAAAATTGCCGGAACCAGGGAGGCAAAAGTTGTAGTGATCTAAGATCGTGACATTGCACTCCAGCCTGAACAACAGAGTAAGACTCTGTCTTGAAAAAATAAATACATAAATAAAAATAAAAATTCAAATAGGCTGGGCATGGTGCCTTATTCCTGTAATCTCAACACTTTGGGAGGCCGAAGTAGGAGGATAGCTTGAGCCTAGGAGGTTGAGACCACCCTGGGCAACGTAGTATGATCCCATTTTTACCCCCTCAAAAAAATTAGGTGAGTGTCCTGATGTGTACCTGTAGTCCCACCTATTCAGGAGGCTAAGGCAAGACAGAATTCTTGATCCTAGGTGATTGTACCATTGTCCTGCAGTCTGGACAACAGAGTGAGACTCTCTCTCAAAAAAAAAAAAAAAAAAAAAAAAAAAAAAATCAAACAATATAGAAGTATTTAGAATCACAAAAAAAGTTTTTCTTTTCCTTCCTTCCCAGTTTCTCTTTTCTCTGTAGGGAATATCTTTTTATAGTATGTATATAAATACATACATTTCTGTGATTATTATAATTAATGTACATGGGATTGTATATTCATTGATTTGTGTTTTTCCTACCCATTATGCCTTAGAAATCTATGATATAGATCTCTTGCATTTTAAAAGAAAATGGATAGAGTTTTTGAAAATCAGTAAATGCTCTTATTAAGGAATTCCAGCAGAATAGGAGAGCACTGAATAGAATGGTTCCCCAGTCTTATCCCTAATCTCTAACTTTTACCTTGATTTTTGTATGACATTCCAGAAATCTGTGCTTCTATAGGTACCTTTTATTTTCTTTCCTTTTTCTCTTTTCCTCTTTTTCTTTTTTTTTTTTTTAAACACAAATGAGATCATCATATAGTTTCAAGAAAATACAGAAGCGATCAAACTGGAAATAGGTATTTTTTTCTATTAACAATAATATAAATGTTCATTAAGAATTTTATGCCTTTTAATGACTGCTTTTTCATTATATGAAGTGCTAATTTATTTCACTTTTGTCTTATTGTTAAATGCTTAAATCTTTCAGTTTTTCACAGTTATGTCAAAGCCTTTAAAAAATTTATAGTTAAGTGCTTGAATTGACTTCAGAGTTCTGACTGCCTTGGAACAAAAAGATTAAATTTTTTAAAAAGTTGAATTTATTCACTTTGACTTCTAGTTTCAAAACTGATGGAACTCAAAAGTCTAGTTTTGAACAGTGTGCCTTTAAATTGCAAAATGTAAATATTTAGTTTATATTTTTCTTATGTTTGTATTAATGTTTATAAGTTGATCAGTTACCAAACCCTTGAGTTCTGTGAGTCTAAATAAAATTTTGCATTAAAGGCACAAAAAGAAGCTGATAAGGCTGTGAGCTTTTAATGTAAACTTTGTGAAATGATAGGTAATGGGTTTTTGTTTTTGTTTTTTAATCAGTGACTTTTTTGAACGAACCATTCTGTGCAACAGCCTTGTGTGGAGTTGTGCTGTGACGGGTAGACCTGGACTGACATATCAGGAAGCACTTGAGTCAGAAAAAAAAGCAAGACAGAATCTTCAGAGTTTTCCAGAACCACTAATTATTCCAGTTTTATACTTGACCAACCTTACCCATCGTTCACGCTTACATGAAATTTGTGATGATATCTTTGCATATGTCAAGGATCGCTATTTTGTTGAAGAAACTGTGGAAGTCATTAGGAACAATGGTGCAAGGTAAAGTACTTTTAATTTTTCCTCTTGGTAAGTTTATGTTCACATTGCTCAAAATTCAAAACACACAAAATGGTGACCTAAGGAATCTTTCCTTTTAGTACGCTCCAGCTATCCTATTAACCCACAGATAGCCTTGTTGTTAGCTGCTTTTTATATATCTTTCCAAAGCCAGTTTATACATATGCCACCAAAAACGTCCATGCATGTGTCTGTGTGTGTATATATAACATGTGTTTTATGTAACATACATACACAAATTCCTTCTCTTTTTAATGCAAAAGAACATATATACTCTAAATCCCTTTCCACTTAAAAGATCTTGAAGTTTAGTCCATTGTTACATATACCACCTTCCTTCTCTTTAATTTACTGTATAATAAATTCCCATTATGTGGACATTCCATCTTTAAGTGTAGAAATCCTTAGCTAACGATATCTCCTGTGTCCTTATTATGTCACCTAATAGTTTAAATATGCCTGTATTTCTTGATTGGTTTTAGTGTTTTATTTAACAAAACCAGGATTGAGTTTTATATACTCCACTAAGTTATCTTTCTTTTATACTTCTTCACACTGCTTAATTGAGATATAACGTATATATGATACACTTCTTTTTTTTTTTTTTTTGAGACAGAATTTTGCTCTTGTTGCCCAGGCCGGAGTGCAATGGCATGATCTTGGCTCACTGCAATCTCTGCCTCCCAGGTTCAAACAATTCTCCTGCCTCAGCCTCCTGAGTAGCTGGGATTACAGGCATTTGCCACCGTGCTCGGCTAATTTTTGTATATTTGGTAGAGATAGGGTTTCTCCATGTTGGTCAGGCTGGTCTTGAACTCCCAACCTTAGGTGATCTGCCGACCTCAGCCTCCTAAAGTGCTGGCATTACAGGCGTGACCCACTGTGCCTGGCCCACTTCTCCGTTATATAGTATACAAATGCAGTGTTAGTGCTCTTCTCTTTTACCTAGTTCTTCAGGAATAGAGTGGATTTTTCATATATGAAAATTGAAAATGATATAATCTATGGCAGTAAATTAAAAATTATCAGTGTTTTCCTGAAGTCTTAAGCTTTGTGATTGGCTAGTCACTGACATTTATTATATTAACCTTTATAAGCACTAAAACTTTTTGTAGCCTCTTGACTCTAGGGTATTAACTGTTTTTTGGATGCCCTGCCCCCATTGACCTGAATACTGTTTTTTTTTTCTGGATTTTAAACTTCAGAAGCCAAAAATTATTTAATTATGTTGTACTATTATCTTATTTGGAAGATCATTACAAGTTTATATGTAACTTTAGAATTAATGTCTTAATAAATTAATATCCATTTTCATTGTTAGGTGCTACCCTACTTCAATCTTTTTGTTTGTTTGTTTGTTTGTTTGAGACAGAGTCTCACTCTGTCACCCAGGCTGGAGTGCAATGGTGCACTCTCAGCTCACCGCAACCTCTGCCTCCCGGGTTCAAGTGACTCTCCTGCCTCAGTCTCTGAAGTAGCTGGAATTATAGGCGCCTACCACCACACCCAGCTAATTTTTGTATTTTTAGTAGAGACAGGATTTCACCATGTTGGCCAGGCTGGTCTCAAATTCCTGACCTCAGGTGATCTGCTTGCCTTGGCCTCCCAAAGTGCTGGGATTACAGATGTAAGTCACTGCGCATGGTGTAAGCCTTCATTTCTCAATATATCAGCTATTCTTTTTGTTGTTGTTTGGGATGAGGTCTGCCTCTGTGGTTTTGGTTTTTTTTTTTTTTTTTAAACTTTTAGTATAAATGAGGTCTGACTCTGTTACCCAGGCTAGAGTGCAGTGGTACCATCTCTGCTCACTACAACCTTCACCTCCCAGATTCGAACCATCCTCTCACCCCAGCCTCCTGAGTAGCTAGGACTACAGGTGTGTTCCACCACGTCCAACTAATTTTTGTATTTTTTTGTAGAGATGGGTTTCATCATTTTGCCCAGGCGGGTCTCAAACTCATGAGCTCAAGTGATCCACCTGCCTCAGCCTCCCAAACTGCTGGGATTATAGGCTGAGCTACCAAGCCTGGCCTATATTGACCATTTGTAACTCGTGATTATGCATGAAGTTTACCCCACTTAAATACAGCATTCTGAATGTATTCTGTTAAAAAGTATGAAACTCTTATTCTAATACACTTAAATAATTAAACATAGAATTGGGTTAATCTGAAATGTCCTTATAAGAATACGAGAACATAAATTCAGTACTTTATTAGTTTTATCTAAAAACTAAAAATGGTTATAGTTATTAGATCCAATCCTTAGGTCCTTTGTTCCCATGATCACTTAGAATATAAGTACCATAGGGTTGGGTCTTTTGGGGAGGGTGGAGGTTGTGCAACTTGATACTAGAGACTCCTCAACTCTTCTAGAGACTGGAGACAGCACGAATGAGGGTTTGTATGCATATTTTACTAATACGTCCTTCAGGTTGGCATCTTTTACAAAGCTATTTTGTATGACTTCTCATAACTTGCTGTGAGCGCTATTGACGAGGGAGTAATAGGTAAGGTAAGAATAGTGAAAATACTAAAAGGTGGCATGTGAAAAAGGAGATTAATTGGGGATGATGAATTACAGGAAAGTCATGATTTAAAGGAGGCTCAGGAAAGAGTTAAGTAGAAAAGGGGTCTCAAAATGCCGGTGGATAATGTAGTAAGTTTTTAAGCTAAGTAATTAAATTTTTCAACCAATAGCAAAAAGTCATCAGGAAAATATTTAGAAATAACTGAAAACCTCTTTCCCTTTTAGGATTGTTATGCTATTATTTGTTTTTTCTGTGGATTTTTTTTTTTTTTTTTCCTGGGTCTGGTTCTGTCCCCCAGACTGGAGTGCTGTGATACAATCAGAGCTCACTGCAGCCTCAGTCTCCCAGGCCCAAGCAATCTTCCCGCCTCAGCGGGACTACAGGCATGAGTGGCTGGGACTACAGGCATGCGCCACCACACCTGGATGATTTTTTTTTATCTTTTAATATAGATGAGGTCTGGCTATGTTGCTCAGGCTGCTCTCAAACTCCTGAACTCAAACAGTAATCCCACCTTGGCTTCCCAAAGTGCTAGAGTTATAGATATAAGCCACTGCACCTGGCCTTTTCTGTGGATCTTGTAAATCAACTCCATTGCACTATGAAGTGTGAAGTTACAACATAATTTACCTTTTAAAGGAATGTACCTATATATGCCAGTCTTGCTGCTATACGATAGTTATATATATATTTGAGTGTCTTCTTTACGCCAGACACCGATTTAGGTGCTGTGGATATAATGGCTCCCCCACTCCCAAAGCCAAACATACTTGCTGCTTCTCAAATGTGCCAGTCATGATCTCTGCTTCAGGGCCTTTGCATTACTCTTCTCTTTGCCTGGATTTTTTTTCCCCAGATATCAACATAGTGAGTTCTTCTACTTCTTCATGTCTTCCTCTATATCACTTTCATTGAAGCCTTCTGTCCTATCTAAAATTTAGCATTTTCTTGCCCCAACTTTTATTTATTTTATTTTTAAATTTGTTTATTTTTTGCCTCCCCTCCCTTGCCCCAACTTTTAAAACATTTTTATTAAAACATTTTAAAATTGTGGGCCAGGAGTGGTGGCTTATGCCTGTAATCTCAGCACTTTGAGAGGCGGAGGTGGGTGGATCACCTGAGGTCAGGAGGTGGCCAGCCTGGCCAATATAGTGAAACCCCATCTCTACTAAAAATACAAAAAATTAGGCTGAGCAGGGTGGCTTATGCCTGTAACCCCAGCACTTTGAGAAGCTGAGGCGACTGGATCACCTGAGGTTGGGAGTTTGCAACCAGCCAGACCAACATAGAGAAGCTCCATCTCTACTAAAGATACAGAATTAGCTGGGCATGGTGGCATATGCCTGTAATCCCAGCTACTGGGAGGCTGAGGCAGGAGAATTGCTTGAATCGGAAGACAGAGGTTGTGGTGAGCCGAGATTGCGCCGTTGCACTCCAGCCTGGATAATGAGCAAAGCTCTGTCTCAAAAAAAAAAAAAAAATACAAGAATTAGCGGGGTGTGGTGGCATGTGGCTGTAATTTGGGAGGTTGAGGGAGAGTTGCTTGAACCCAGTAGGTTTTCAACCCAGGAGCAATTTCAAAAAAAGTTATTTTTTTTTTTAATTGTGGAAAAATACACATAACATAAAATTAGTGAACTGTTTTTGAGAATACAATTCAGTCCTCTCCCCAACACTTTGTATTTCTCTTCCATGCTTTGTTTTCTCTTCACCTTGGTGCTATTATATTTTCTTTCTTTCTTTTGTTTTTTGGTGGTTTCCTTCACCAGAATGTAAGCTCCATGAGCTCAGGAGTTTTTGTTCACTATATTGTTAGCACTTAAAATGGCACATAGTATGTGAGCAGAGTAGGTATTAAAGTATAAACAATGCAAAACAAATTTCAAATAGAAGTGCTTTGAAGGCAATGGTATGGTAGAAAGTGAGGGGAGAAAGTGGTCGGCACTTCAGCTAGGGTGGCCAGAGAATGTTGCTGTGGAGGAAATGACATTTACTCTGATAATAGGATGAAGGAGAAGGAACCAAACATGTCAAGAACTCTTTAGACAGAGGGAAAGGCCCTGAAGTGAAAATGGTATAAAATATTGCTCTGGCTGCTGTTTGGTGAAATGATTGGAAGGAAGTCAAGCATGGAAATCCTGGAACCAGTTTGGAGACTATTACAACAGGCCTTTCTAGTGCAAATAAGAATTTCTAATCAGATGGTAGCAGTACAGATGGAGAGAATTGGATGGACTCAGGATATTTTGGATGGAGAACTAACACAGTTTATTCATGGTTTGGAGGGATGCTGGGTTGGGCAGGGCAATGTGTGGGAAAGGAGAAATTATGGGTGATGTCTCAATTTTTTGTCTCTAGTGAATGGTAAGATGGAGACGCTTAGCTCTTGCTTATAGTCTCAACTACCTGGGAGGCTGAGGCAGGAGGATCAGTTGAGCCCAGGAATACAGGG